AGAGCCGGACCGTTATGCAGAAATTTCCATTTGTTTTAACTTTTAAGAGGGAATGGAACAATTCTGCCATGGTAATAAACAGTAACTATACCCCACTTATGTGGCACTCTTTGTCCCATAGGATCCCCAAAGTGCTTTGTCAATTGATGGAGTTACATACAGAAAATCCCTTTTCTGCAGAAATCCAGCCTGGTTTAGGACAGGGAATAGACCAAAAAGACCCATGGCAGGCAATATGTGTAGAGAAAGGACAATTTGGCCCATGTCAGTACTGATAATCAGGGCTTCATACACTCAGATGTGCCAAGTCTCATGCAAAAACAAGCCTGTGACTGCCCCTTTCAGCCCCACCACACTCTTCCTCAGCACAGCGCCAGCATCTCAGACCTATGGCATCTTAGACCTAGAAACCAACTTGGAAAGAGATCCTGAAGCAAGAGAGAGGCAATGACTGGAGAGCAGCTGAGGATCATGCCACCAGGATGACGATCCTGAACAACAGGCTGGTGCCTCTGAATCCATCCTGACCCCGTCTTGTATGGCTAGGCGTGGTATTTGGAAGGGAAGGAGCTACACGAGTTTGTCCCATGTCTCCAAGTCTATCACCTGATATGATATCAGAGCCTTCCAATTCAGGTTTCTCAACCAGCCAGCATGCTTTGTATCACCATGGAACCAAATTGTACAGTGAGGACACCTAAATCATGTATATGTTTTCTTAGCCTCAGATACTCGTGACATAGAATTAGTCAGTGATTATTTTTCAAGGCAGGTTTTCCACTTCGTCTTCCAACTGGCTGCTCTCCTAAGGCTGTGATACTGTCCAAGAAGTCCAGTACAGGATGACCTTCCAATATAGGTCACAGAAAAGGGAGCTTGTAGGAAACTTCAGCAGCTCATCCTTCTTAGCACTGCCTCTTGCGGTAATCTGCTGGCAGCAAAGCTGGCAATGCTGCATAGCTGGTCTCTGCTGCCCTTTGGCTGCAGGCTGATTTTTTTATATGTACTTTTACCCTGACCTGCCTGCCTCTGTGGGAGGTGACAAGAGGATGACTAAGCAATCAGCTTATTAGGTCATTTTTGAATATAGCTGAGACTCATGTGATTTCTGCTACTAACTCATCGTTTTATATGCTGGTCATACATATCTGAATGTGACTTGCTTTTTCAGGTCCACTCTCTGTCTAGTAAGAATATTGCCAGGACAGTTGCATTTGTAAAGCTTGGCGTGAAATGCAAACAGCAGGTCTTCAGATCTGGCAGTATTAACCTGAGCTTTCAGAGCTTGCTTCAAATTGCAGGTTTGGGCTGAACCAGATGCCTCTGAACTGTCAGCAGATTTGGCTTTGCTTTCAGTGTCATAGGTACCTCCCTAGGAGGGAGCAGGCTGACCAAAAAGTGTTTGTGGTACAGAGAGACATCCATCCTTGCTAGCACAGGCTCTAGAACAAACTGCAAAAGTGTTTCCCTACCCTAGGAAACCACTTGATATTAAAATTAAAATAAATAAGAAAGTTCTTCAAAACAGGGAGAGACAGATGCTTTCTATGCAGCCGCAGTACTAACTTTGGATAGGGCAGATGGAAGTCAAATCTTGGTGACAACTGAACTACACATCCTAAGGATGTTCCCGAGGGAGCTGCCTCTCCCAGTGCTGTTCCACTTTATATAATAATAAGTTCTTTTTTGGCTCTCTGAGACCACAGTTCAGAGCCTAAGACACTCATCCAAGGTGCAAGAGAAGAGGTTCAAATCCTTCTCTGAATGCAGCAGCAGAGGGACTTGGCACTGGGTCACCCACATCCCAGGTTAACGCTTCATCGTTTTATCACTGGCTATTCCGTTGCCTCACTCACACTTTTACGTTTGACCGGAGATTCATGGGCTTCGGGGAATCTTCCCAAAATATGTTTCATCCAGTTTCTAGATTTCATGAATCAGCTTTTTTCCTATGGTTCTCAAGTGTGAGTTCGTTCAGATGCAGTCACGCTGAAGGTAGGAGCCCAATTCACTGCATTGCAGCTGGAAGGGAGACCACTGTAACATCCCTCACCCAGCCTGCTGCTCCGGGGATGCGAAGGAGTACTTTTACTCTATACGAGTTTCCATGTTTATGACATTTCCCCCCTCTCTAGACTTCTGCTATGTGTTATTAACGTTACCGCAGTCCTAAAAAACGTGAAACAAGTTCCAGTGGATCCAAACCAACATGCCTAAGTGCATGCGGTTATTTATTTCAGTCTTGCTCCTCTGCCAAATTATCTATTTCATAGTCTCAGCATGGTGGCATTAGTTATCCTGATCTCTTCTCCCAAAATGATTTTTTTCTGGGTTCGGTAAGTTACTGCGCAGGTTTGTGATTTGGTAGGATAACATCCGAAGAAGCATCTTCAAAGGATCAAAGAGGTTCAGAGCAATTTTACTTACATCAAAAGCTTGGCAGCATGTCAAGAGGTGTTGAGAACGCCACTCAGTCCTTGTGTGTAGGCAGGAGGAGCGCACATGGGCTGACATACTGTAACATGAGGCAGGAGGCAAGGCAGGATATACTGCTCTTTGTACATCAAGCTGAGTAGAATTAAGATACAATTGACAGAACATCGCCACTTAAATGTCTTAACCACTTTTAAGATATCCGGCAGTTAACAATGGGCAGGAATCCTACATCTCTGACCATAGTTTTTCTTTCTTCTCCGTTACCCAATACATTTTTCTAATTGTGCTGAGGGATTTACTAAGTTCTGCGTCAGAGAGCATCCAAGATTTCATTCACAGCACTACTGATATTTATGTGAAAAATTCTACAAGTACCAGAATATAATCAATTCAATATTTTGACTGAAAGGAGACAATCTGTCATATGCAAGCCGTCATATATAATGGGTATATTTGTATTCCCTGCATTCGGTCTGCCAAGGTTGTAAAAATATATTTGCAAAATGCAGCACACAAGTTACTCGCTTCCTCCGTAACCCAGGCTACGGGCCAGCCTCGGTGGAGCCTGGATGGTACATTTGCCTTCATGGCACGGCATGAGAGTTGATGTTTTCTAAGGATGACTGTGTTCCACACTGCATCCCTGTAGTTTGGGCTTAGAGCTGGCTGGAGCACCGGGGAAAGCCTCTGGATTTCCAGTGATGGACGGAGGGTGCGAGGGAGGTGGGAAGGGGCAGTCAGCTGGAGTGAGCTGCTGAAGTAAGAGCACGGCGTGCTGCTGCCCTGAAAGTTTTCTTTTCCCCTCGAAGTGACAGCTGTACATACCTCCAGGGGAAACTGTGCCGAAGGAACCATAAGGAGAAGAGAAAAATTTGTCGAGGGCGAGGGGGGACAAATCCATATGGCATTGTGGCCTTTCTGTTTAAGGGACAGCAACAAACGAGAGCGGAGCATGTGTTGGCATCAAATACTCCATGCTGAGAGAAGGGATAATTTTCCAAAACAGCAGAAACTGGGGTGAGGATGGGGTTAAACATGCATTCTTCTCGCACAGAGACTGCGCACAAGTTTACACAGTAAACACTTATTTAAGCACATCCTAACTTCTAAAACACCTGTAAGGAGCAGTTCTATTATTTGTACATTTTCAGGGGGGCATGCTCATGTCTAAACTGAGATAAGTTTTTCTTTGCTGCAGAGATTATAGAAAGAAATTTCCTCTCTTTTGCTCGTGAGACCTTTTGCTTATGGGTTTTAGGAGTTGGGCATTTGGAGGGATTCATTCCTTAGATCACGTGTTTCCACTTCTCTTGACTTTTTTTTTTACACCATTGCAGAGCAGTTCCTTATTGAGGTGGACTTTTTCCCAGCCTTTGCCTGATCTGTCTCTGAAAAATCAAACTTCACACACTTCAGTGCACTTTAGCTAGGAGCTGAGTAGCTCTTGATCAAGATCTTCACCTCAAATCTAGCTGCCGTATTGGGCTGTGCCAACTGCAGAGGTCAGAAGTAGCCTTGGAAGAGCTGTATTTTGCTGCGCTGTCACCTATAGATGCCCAAAGTCCCTCAGGTGGCCCCCCCTCCTGGTGTGATGCATTGCTATAAGAGGATGCTCTGAGCTGAACACTTGTGCAGTAGATGTTGGGCTGTTACTGGAGGAGGAAAAAACTTCACATCTGGGCACTGCAGAGATATGAGGCCACCAGCATCACCAGGATTGCAGAAGGAGGCTCAGGGCATTCTCATTCTCCCTCAGCCCTCGTGGAGGCCTTGCAGGTGATCGTATCACAGTGGCAATTTGAGGGGGGGGCTGTTGGAGAGGTGAGGCTTTCATCTTGTGCTGATTTCTATTTCTCCTAGCAGCACAGGGCACAGAGTTGAGACCTTGATGCTGCTCTGTGGTAGTGGTATAGATGGCTAGAGTGATAAGGGACAAAGTGGTGTGTTGTCAATACAGGTGGAAGGGTGGTCTTAATTAAAAAAAAGCAAAACCAAACCACAAACAGCTTTTCCATTCAGTATTGCTTTCTCAAGCCGTAGCTTTGCATTCAGCATCCCTTGAGGGCTCATTTGACCCCAGACCTGCTTGCTTTCCCAATTTTGTATGGAAGTTACAAGGCAAATATGGAAGTTAAAAGGTGAATTAGTGGCCTAATTTCACTGCTTGTGGTCTGTGTGACTGATCAGATAAGTCTTCCCCTACCTCCTAGGTTTAATTATCTATAATTTTTACTTATACCATTATTTGCATAGAAGGTACAACGGATCAGCTCCTCCTAGGGAACGGCAACTTGTAAACATAAACAAAGAGGTTTTTGTCAGCTATTAATGGAAGCATTGATTAATCTCCTATTGCTTTGGTAGCCTGTTGAAAGACTCATAAAGGAGCAAACTGAATTGTTCATTAAACTGGCCAGGCTGTAAGTGCCAGGATGTGGAAACCAAATGTATGTTGAGTGCATTTCAGCTGCGTGGAGCCTCCAGGAGGAAATGCAAACTCTTGTTATCATACTGCTGTGCTGCAGGAGACCTTCTTAACATCTTCCCTTTCCTTTCCTTTGCAGATGATGCCAGTTCAGGAAAGGATAGCCAGGTACCTGAAGGCTCCAATGGAGAATACGAAGATCTCTCTGGGAAGCAATGGGGTAAGGAGCAGTATATGTTTTTTGGTTTTCCTTAGTTCTTGGTTCGATGCTGTCCACGTGGCACATTTCTCAGTTGCTGAAGGAAAGGAAAGGAAAGGAGTGAGTTCTCCGTACAGATGGTCAAATGATAAACAGAACATCAGCTGAACATGTCAGTGTGAATGGATCCCCTCCAAGGGTCCTTCTGTGAAATGCAGCCCGAGGTCTGCCCTAGGGCCCCCTGCCATATACCCCAGCATGGTTCTCCCTTGCATTTGTTTTTCTGGGCAGTGACTTACTTTTGCATGTGCAGCTATTATAGTTTTCATAGACTCTCTATAAAAGGCATATTGACTTTTACAGCAATATTTCCAAAAGCCTTCAGTGCCAATATAACACTGCTCCCACTGAGGGCAAATGGGAGGTCTTACTTCACTTCAGGAGAATTAGCATTAGGCTGAAATTGAGTATTTTTTAAAATTACTTTCTCTTTTAGACACCTGCATGAATTTCTCTAAGCCCCGGACTGTTCAAGTATAGGATTTTGATGCTGTTGCAGAGCTTTGGGGAACTGCTAAAATCTCACTTGGAACAGGTTCTGAATCACCACAAGACTTGCAGGTCTGAAGGTTGGTCCAAGCACTCCTTGAAGGACAATAAGCTGTCAGGCTGATGCCAAACAGCTTTTGGCCATTACTGACAGGAGTGCGATGTGAGTTTATGACCTCAAGGGATGAAGCACAGCATTTCCCTTTTGCTCTTGCAGTACATCCCTTCTTTTAATTTTATAAAACAGAAGTGGCTTTGTACCACATTCATGGCCAGGGAGTAACCTCATGGCAATGGTAGGCGTGGAACCTGTCAAGCTTTCACCGTATGAGTCCTCACCACTTGAGCTGAGGCCAGTTTTCTTCAGAAGCTGACAAACAAGGGATGTGGTGTGCTGTGGTGTAGTCCAGACCACATCTGGAGGAGGCAGTGCTATAATAGCTTTAAAATACAGATTCATCTGAGACTGAGTCTGCTCTGGGAGAGGAAGGTAAGCTCCAATCATTCTGGAAAAGGATCACAACATTTTAGAGCTAGAGAAAGGGTGGCTTAGATAAACTACAGGTCAGGAGTCCTTCAGAAGGGATTCATCAGCTAGCAAGAAAAGCTGCTGTCTCTCCACTCTTCATTACCCTGGTGGACATAGGAGCAGACATCGAATGCCATGGCAGATGTGCTCCTGGTAGAGCTGGTGGAATATGGATCAATATAACGATAATATTATGAAAAAAGATGTAAGCACTACTAAGATTATTAGGCATTGACAATCTCATATCAGATTGTGTCTTACTCTGTGCTGGCTCTGACCCAGTCCTTCTTTGTCCTGCTTTTTCCCTTTCCCTCTCTCCTCTTCCCAAGCAGGGAAATAGCTGGGGCAGGCCACACACACACTCAAGGCCTTTCCATCCAGCAGTGTTCACCAGCTGATTGCTGGTGTGAGCTGGCATGCAGGGAGGGTCAGTGCATGTCTGCAGGTCTCTGGAGGATAATGGGTGAAGGATCAGTTTGTGTTTGCAGAATCCTGGGCCCTAGAGAAGTGGGAGAGGAGAAGCATGGTAAAAAAACCCTCCACTTTGCCTTCCAGCTACCATCATGGAGTGGTATTGCTGGGAAAGGTCCTGTCCCCATCAAGAGCAGGGAAATCATGTGGGAAAAGACAGATACCCCCATCCACATCTTCCCACAGCTGACTGAGCTCCTAGCCAAAAGATTTGAAGGTATTTCAATATTTAGCCATATCATGACACTTTTTTGTGTAAGTGTCATGAAAGCTTGAAGTGGTACTGATCATACTATGTGGAGGTAACTGTGGCAGATCACAGCAGACTACATGTTTTATCTAACCACCTCACTTTGTACGAGCAATGTCTGACAGGAGCCTCTGGGACTAATCCATGCACCTCAAGGTGTCCCACAGGGAGAGGAGATTGCTGAATTCCTTCCCAGGTCTTTGTGCCGACAGCCTTCTCTTTCATTTAATTTTCATTAGCTTGAAAAAATCTTCATGGTAAACAGCATTTCAGCAAGGAACCCATACACAACACTGTCTCTTTGTCCCCATCCACTTGTGTTTTCCCTTGCTCTTGTGTATGGCATAATTTGTACTGTACAAATGTGCGGTTCATGTTTATGAGGCAAATGCCAAGTGATGTGGAGGAGAACAAGCATGTGAAGTATAAATAACACAGAGGCACTTTGTAATGGCCTTTGCTGGCACTCCAACAAGCAAAGCTTCTCTAAATGGTACAGATTTGGGACAGACATTTACTAGCACTGACTCAAAAGAGACTTTTTCTGCCTCTCTCTCACATTGCTGCTTCTCTCTCTTTCTCCTTTGTGCTTGCTGGATCCCTTTTTCTCCCTTATGTGTCTGTGTCCCTCTCTTTCTCCTTTTTTGTTAACTGGCTTTTCTAAACTTGTCCAATTCAGGCTTTTGTCAAGGAAACATTCAGGACTGTGTAAATGGGATCTGATTTCAGCATATTGCACACAGCCTGGAGTAGCTTTTGAGACCACATAGTCACTTAACCCTCTTTAAACAGAAGAAGAAAGACAGACAGAAAGAGCCAAAGAAGTTTAGCTTTACCTGTAGTTTGATATGTATCTGGGCAACAATGTACAAGGAGTGAATGCAAAACTCCAGACAGATTCATGGGTGTCACAGTGGAGGGAAAACCAGAAATGTCATAGGCCTACTTTTTGGGGAGGAAAGACAGTTTCTGTCTTGCAGTGCCCTTACTGAGCAGGGGCACCACCAAGTCTTTCTGAAATATTGCTGTGAAAGCAGGGAAGAGTTAAGGGAAGGTGAGAGCTTAGAGTCACTTACTTGACACTTCACTCTACATGGGCAGTGTGACTGTCCTGTCTCCAACCTGGTCTTTGGTATGTTAGTCCCAGCTCAGGAATCTCATCCAGCAAGGATCTGCTCCTACCTGGACCTGCAGTTCCTGGTCTCAGAGTAAATTTCTGCCATAGTAGAGGATAACTGTTCAAACCAATTTCATGGCTGGTTCTTAACCTCTCCATGCACCTTGCAGATAATTACTCAATTTCCATTATCAGCACATCTGCCTTGGCTTAGTCTTAAACTTCGTCATGTCATTGCTCACAACGTGCAGCTCTGACAGGGTTAATTGTCTCTCTGGGAGGGTGATTGTTTTTGCTGGGAGAGGCCCTCCTCTTGCAGCAGACCCCCAAGGGAATACCCAGCAATTTACGCACCATGACCTGGAATGGGTTAGTATGTCACACTTGCTGCTCAGCTGTCATGGCAAGGACTTTCGGTGCCCGAGTAGCTCCGGTTCATTCGGTTACACATGAAAGCCTCTGTATAGAGAGTAAAGCATTTCTGAGCAAGAGTTTGAAATAACATGAAATGGCTGGGACCCAAGATGACAGCCAAGGAAGGCAAGGGAAGGCTGCGGAAACAGATGGTTTCCCCTACAGAAGAGGACTCTGAAGAGAGGGGTATGCCAAAAGTTGTCTCCTTCCAAGACAGAGGGATGTTGGGCAAGGCTGCAGCGGGGTGCGGACTAAGGGGTATGTTCACAGACCTCAGAGGGTAATGGCTGCCATCCCCCAATGCTTGGAGAGAGGAAGCTGCAGACCAGCCTCCTCCATCCAGCAAAGCTCTACTATAATGCACGTCCCAGAGCTTCTGGCCGTCAGCCCTGGCAGTAGGGCTGACTTTCTAGTAGAGTCCCACCGTGCCGTCCCGTAGCTAACTTCCCCAACACCTGAAGCACAACATTCTCACCTTGCTTTGGTGTGTTACATACTACCGAGGTTGTGGCTTTCCAGTTGCCGTTGGTGAAGGCCAATGGCTGATGGGCATAATTCAACCCCCTGTGCCCCGAAGCAGGCCACTCATTACCTATTTCTCTTATTTCTCAAGAAAAGGATCAGGGAAAAATTACCAGAGGAGTGCAAAAATGCAGGATGACTGCCCTTTGGGGCTAAAGAGTAAGATCATGGTAAGCAAGAAATAGGATTCAAAAGCAGGGGAGAAACCTATTGTGGACATGCTGAATGGACTCAGAGGGGAAACTGGCTTTGCCAAAATAGAAAAAGAAGACAGGTGAATTTGGCAGAAATATTTTGGATGTATGGGGAGAGTGCGAATTGGGAGTCAGAAGTGGTGTTAATCTCAGCAGGAGACGACAGTTAGAAGTGCCCTTGGACTGGTATTGCATCATTAAAGTAACTGTGAGAAATTTGTAATTTCTTTTGAATTCTTCATTACAGGATACTATTAAACAAGCTCTTGCCTTGCAACAGATCATTTTCTATAGTTTCAACTGTCTTAAAAGTTTTTGCAAAGGTCTCTTTCTTTCTGTTGATTAGTCAGACCAATTCATGACTTCACAGGAAAACTCCCTGCAATGTCAGTAAAGCTACTAGGTTGTAAAGGTGCCACCTCTTTTCCCTCTGGAATTCTGACATAATCTGAATCAAAGTTAGGTTCAGTCAAGAGTATAAGTTTCAGATTTCACCAGGTGGGGATCTTGCATTTCTCTAGTGTTCTTGTCACTGCCGTTAGAAATACTGGTGATTTCCTTGCTAAGACAGGGTGACGCTCTTAACCCATGATTCTGTCCACTAGCAGCTATTGCTTCAGCTTCTCCATTTTTGGGATGGACTGGCATGGGGTATCTTCTAGTAACAAATTCAAGGGTTTTTTTGGGGTCTTTCCATTTGTTTGTTTGCTTCTTTGCACCTTTCAACATGAATGCTTCATAAATTAATGTTGAATGAATTACATACATTTAAGTTCAGATCAATGCATAACAGCCTGACACACCTCTTAGACTTTCCTACATATTGAAAAGATGTTGACTCTTCTTAAGTCCCATTAGAGCCAGTGAGAACTAAGGGGCAAAACATCTTCAGAAAATGAAGCTTCAAGTGACCAGGAAAAGATTGAGAAAATGGTCAGCCTGACAGGAATCAGGTTTTTCCTTTGGTCTTGGCTAAGGACTTGCATTTGTGGCTTGGAGTATGGTAACAATTATAATGTGATTATGGGGCCGCATTTTGCCTTCAACTATAATAGCGTGATTTTGGTATTATTTTGTGGGATGGCCTGATGCAGTTGCCTTACGGACACTGAGAAAAATTCCAGGGTTGTGCTATGCAGAAGGCTAATATGGTGGCCATAGCAGTCCAATAGACATTCAAATGCATCAGGCTGGGTGATGTCTCCTTTCTAAGGAAATCGGTCTGAGCTGGTATGAGAAAGAGTGATACACTGTTATGTATGAGGCTGCCGGGTGCCTCTCAAGCAAATTTGGCCATAACACTTAACAGCAGTATCCTTCTTTGCATGCCCTTTGCTCACCACAATCAATTTTTCATGCCTTTTGCAGCCCGGCCCAGGTTCACACAGCCTGCCAAGATGAGACGGAGAGTGATCGCCCGTCCTGTTGGCAGCTCCATCCGCCTGAAATGTGTGGCCAGTGGAAACCCACGGCCTGACATCACATGGCTGAAGGATAATAAACCCCTCACGCCCCAAGAGATTGGGGAGAACAAGAAGAAGAAGTGGACGCTGAACCTGAAGAACCTGAAGCCAGAGGATAGTGGGAAATACACCTGCCGAGTGTTTAACAAAGTTGGAGAAATCAATGCAACATACAAAGTTGAAGTAATCCGTAAGTGCAGCCTCTGGGGTGGAAAAGCAGGGAGGGAGCTTTGAGAAGAGGGCTGGCTGAGTGAAGAGAGTGTGATGGCGAATGTACAGTGCCAATAGCTGGACAATACAATTTAGTAGTTGAAATGAGGTAGAGTCATCTCTAAGGGCACCTGCATGGTAAAAGTTCATCATTGCCCAGTTCAGTCTTACACTTCCGACAGATTCAATTCAAGGACAGACTGAGAACTAAGTGAGAAAGCCCTTTCATGTACCATAGATGGGGAGTGGAAATATTTAGGATGGCTCAGATTATCAAAGTGGTAATAGGGTGAAACCATCCAATTGAAAATTTAGTCTGGATAGCTGTAATAGGAGGCCCACTTCATTAGAGAAGTCTCCCAAGGGAATTAACAGAAATCTTATGACTAAGTTGATTAGCCAGACAAGGCTTTAGGGCCAGATTTTAAAAAACATTTGGCCATCTGAAGGTTCAGGTGGGTACAAATGAGATACTAACAAAACCAAGAAAATCCCACTAGGGTCCTGTCTGTATCTTTAGATGCCTACATAGCTTTAAAGATTAAACCCTTAAAAGATGAGCTGTGGGGGATTATCTGGCATTGTGGTGGGTAGAGTAAATTGCTCTTCTTACTATCTAGCTATTCTGATTCTTGCTCCCTAATCTCCTGTTTCCTCTATTATTACTGAAGATAATTATGCTCAAATCCTACTGAAATCTACCAGAGAAGAGCTCTTATTCTTAAATCATTGTGCTTTGTCTATGACATCATCATAAGTTGTCATGGAAATGATTACAGAGCAGCCAACTCAAGAAAGTGGAGAAGATGAGCTGAGTGGAGGGAAGACTGAATAGCCTTCATTAATGAGGAGGAGGAGCATGGAGGGCTATTTCCAGCCACATGGAAAGCATGTTGTTTGTCTGTCTGTGCATACATTTCAGCATGAGAAAGTTTATCCCAGTGTGAAAGATTGTTCTTAAAGGTAAAGATCTGTTCTCTGATAAGCCCTTTCTCTAGAATCACAGGAATTAAAAGCACATGTGGGGAGTTCTGTTGGGCTCTGAAGGCACAAACCTGCTGGACATCTGGGATTGATAAAGATGCAGCTGTGTGGAGACAGTAAAAACATGTGTTTACACTAAAACCAGGAGCAGAGACAGGGAAATGAATCAAGCCCCATCCTAATGGCAGCTGTGGCATTTTCACTTCATCAAAACCAGACAGCACCAGGAACAAACCCCTTTCTGTGTCCGTGTTTATCTTGGTTTTTATCAACTTAAAGATGTATGTAACCTTTGTTTTCATTAGCTTTTGCTGGCTAGGAGTGAAAACAGTAACCAAAGCTGCAACCAGAGTCAAGGAGATAAGGGCATTAAGCAGTTTTCAGACATCTTTCTATTTTTAACATCTTTCTGAGGAGCATTACAGGTTTTATTCAATTTCCTCCTTATTTCCCCCCCCCGACCCTGCACTCCTAAGTCCTGCTTATCTGAGTCTCAGCCTCCCCAGCTGTGATTCCCACTCACACTCCCAAGGCCAAGCCTATAGAGACCACTGTGGTATTTTTGTTTCCCAAGCACATCTTTAGAGCCCTCATTATTGAAAGTATCCTGAGTTTTTGAGAGAGGGTCCATTGTTCCTTCCTCTCACCCCAAAGCCAGTGCTGGTGAGAGCTGTTTTGTTACATGCTCAGTCCAACAGTGTTTGCCGTCGAAAGCAGTTGATGATTGCCAGCAGTTACCACCCACTGTGATACCATAACTTCTCTCTGTGCCTAGGGTAGAGGTTTGCAGTACCTCCTTGTCTGGAAACTGTGACTGATTTCTCTGATGCTAGCACTAAAAAAAATCTAAACATTCCTCAGAATGAGGGATATATTTTTCCTTTGACTTTATGTGGTGTTGACACAACCTAAAGCTTACGATCATGCTGGAAAGGATGGTCTTGTGAACCTCTCGTGTTTGATTTCCTTTCCTACCATCTTGTTTCCTTCATCAGCTGAGACCTGAGGCAAAAAATTCTGTGAGAAAGGAAAGATTTTGTTATTGGCTAGAAAAGCAAAAGCCTTCTGAACTCTTTGTCCACAAAAAATTTGTTCCATAATGAGTGTGGGGACAAATAGACTGAAGAAAGAAAGAATAAAAGCAGAGGGGTGAGGATGAAGTGAAGATCTTCCTCACCGATAGCACCTGTGGTCTCAACTCCCCCAGGAGTGGATGACATGGCATGGGATGGCTTCCATTAGCATTTGGTCCCTATGGACATCTACCAGGCCCAGCAAGAGAGATGACAGATATCTCCTGAAGGACTCCCAGACAAAAGATGATACAATATCCACAGCCTGCCATTAGTCCATGAAAGAAGGGACTTTTTCCCAACCAATTTTGTCTGTCCTTTGGGAACACTTGGGAAGACCGAAAGGAGAAGGAACATGTCTTACCCCACCCCTCACTGTGCCCAAACTGTGGGTAGCCACGGCGATTCTAGTGTGGACTTTCAATAGATATGTAAAATGTAAAAAAATGAGGTTGTGTCTGAGAACATGTAAGATTCTGTCATGTTCACCTGTAAATTGCACCCGACCAGACATGGTGGTAAAAGACACAGCATCACAGAATCACAGGGTGGTTGCGGTTGGGTGGAGGTCAAGTGGTCCATCCCCATCTGCTCAAGTAGGGTCACCTAGAGCCAGTTGCCCAGGACCATGTCCAGACAGCTTTTGAATATCTTCAAGGATGGAGATGACACAATCTCTCTGGGCAACCTATGCCAGTGCTCAGTCACTCTCACAGTAAAAAAGTGCTTCCTGATGTTCAGAGGAACTCTCCTGTGTTCCAGTTTGTACCAATTGCCACTGGTCCTGTCACTGGGCACCACTGAAAAGAGCCTGACTTCATCTTCTTTACACCCTCCCTTCAGATATATGTAAACATTGGTAAGACATCATCAGGGTCAATATCAAGTGAACATTTACAGTGAAATAGTCCACTTAATTTGTGTTCATACCTGTACTATTGCCCAAATTTAATCCTGAAATGAGTTTTGGCCTTTTTGGCGAGTATCAGGTCATTTATCTTCCTCTGGTCAAGACTCAAGAAAGATCACTGCAGCCTCTGACCCTGTAGGTCAAGGTACATCATTAAGATCCCAATATTCTGCAATATGGTCCCTGAGACATGGGGATAAGTGGGAGTACAAGGAAGGATGGCTCCTTTTGTCATCTCATAGCTGCAGAGTACAGCAAGGGAATTGGAAAATTCAGCAGTCCAGACTGGATTTACAGTACTTGCCAAGGAGCAGAAAGGCCAGATCTGACTTGTGTGGTGTCAAGTAATATCACCACAAACTGGGTACCCAAATATAAATACTTCTTGTGTGGCCTGAGAGAGCAGAAACACAGCAAAGACAGAAACAGCTTCTATAGGAGATTCTTAGGACCCTGTTTGCTTAGCAGTTAGGAGGGTTGTTCAGTGCACAGAAGAGAGGGCTGAAAAAAATCTTCCAAAGTGTAAGGACTAAGAGGGAGAGCAAACTTTTCTCCTGGTCTGATGTAGATACGGTAAGTAACTTCCTTGTTAGATACAAGAAGATTCACGTTGAGCATGAGAAAAGCCTTGCTAAGCCTTAAACAATGGGGGAGTTGTCTGGAGAGACTGGAGAGCATCTACCATTAGAGGCTTTGGCAAAGGCTGGGCAAATTTATATCAGGGGAGGTCTGCAGAACCTCAGCCTGCCTTGGTGCAAGGAGTTGGACTAGACAATTACTTTGCGTCCTTCCTATGCCCTTTTCCCATGTTTCTGCGATCACAAGTTAATTGTGATTGAGATTGGCAGGCACCTTTTTCCATGGAGCTCCCTGTGTTTTTGTGCAGAGCGGACGAGGTCCAAGCCCATCCTGACAGGGACGCATCCCGTCAACACAACGGTAGACTACGGTGGGACCACGTCTTTCCAGTGCAAAGTCCGCAGCGATGTCAAACCCGTCATCCAGTGGCTGAAAAGGGTGGAGTACGGCACGGAAAGCAAGTACAACTCAACCATCGACGTTGGGGGACAGAAGTTTGTTGTGCTGCCCACGGGGGAGGTCTGGTCCCGTCCTGATGGTTCCTATCTGAACAAACTGATGATTACTCGAGCCAAGGAAGAGGATGCAGGAATGTACATTTGCCTAGGGGCAAACACCATGGGCTACAGCTTTCGCAGCGCTTTTCTCACGGTCCTGCCAGGTGAGTTATGTCTTTTTTTTCCCCCAGATGAACCAATAGTCTGCATCATGATAATTTTTAATACAAATACTGATGCCCATTGGGCTCCATGGCCCTCTGTGATGCTGTGCTGATTTAGGCTAGCCCAGTTCTGATAAGAATGAATGAGGGACAAAATCAACCCTGATTTAAATCAGTCCCTGCTGAAATCCTCTTGATGATGTTTCCTTTTTTTCCCTTCATGGGGAATAATGATTCCAGCAAGGTGAAATAAAATGAATGATCTGCTCCTGTATGGAAGAGGAGCTGGGAAAGGCTACTGCAGTTGCATCACTTCAGTGATAGAGTGCAGGACGTGAGAAGGGAACAGAATAGCAGCACAGTTTGCAGCCCCATTCCCTTACATTTCTCCTTTCTCTTGCTCTTATTTATATTGTTTTTACTGGTAAAAGGAAACAACGATACAGGCCCATAAAATAAGACAAGAAGAAAAACTGTCCCAGTCACAAGGAAAGGAAAAGAATGAGCATGAAGGAGAATGATTGATTAGTTAAATTCTTACCCAATGATCCCCTGGGGACCCTTGTACCAAACTTGCAGCTGCTTCCTTCTCTCCCCAGGCTCAGAGCTGGTGGCCACGTGCAACTGAGGCTGTATTGAGTATGTTTGAGGCACATCATCCTCGCTTTGTCATTTACTCCTTTACCTCCTGACTGTGCAGTTCTGCCCTGATAAATATATTTTATTGAAAAGAGCATTTCTTTCTGCCTCATCTTGCTGTGTGAATCTAGCTTCAGATCCACCAATTTTATGATAAAAATCAATCTTACTACTTTTTCTTCCCTTCACCACCACAAGACCAACACAGCTAAGAGAGTGAAGGAGATGGAACCGATATCAGAACACATTAGCTGTCAGGTCTAATGTCCAGTCAAGACACCAGTGAGAGACAGAGATCATTAACTCTCCAAGGCTGTTAAGACTGGTTTTCTGTGGGGGAAAATGCTCATGACTCCTGTAACTAAGGCAGCATGGCTTCTGCCCACTGATTGCCAATGCTCTGTGTCTCAGCAGCCATTGAGAGTCACTAGCTTGCATTTAGATACTGACAGTGGGTTGCCAAATAAGAGAATGCTCTTGGCGTCTTTTCCTGCATCACTTAGCTTTAGGACTAAACTCCGACTAGAAAGTCTGTCAATCCCGAGGAAAAGGCTGAGTGGGTGGCATATAACTCAAAGCCTCTAGAGAATTTCTGAACTGTGAGAGTCTGATCCAGCTCCCACTGAAATCAGTGAGAGACTTTCCATTGTTTTAAATGGGACTATAATGAGGCCTCATACCAGAACCAGAGCCTGCAGACCTGTTGTTATTGGCAATGATGGAGAAGGAGAACCCAGCTTGCCCTCAGAGGCAAAGATGTGGTTACAAGGCCATGAGTTAGAAAAACACCATTTTGCTTGTAAATCTACCAGATTTGACATAGACAGCTCTGAAGAGCAGCATGGATGAATATGAAAACACTTCCATTTCAGTCTAGCAGAGGATTTCTGCCAACCAACATGAAGACTGTTGTTTTCATGGTCAGCTGATGGGTCAGTTCTCCGATCTTGCCTTGCTTTGAGCAGGGGGCTGGACCAAATGACGTCCAGACTTCCCTTCCAGCCTAAATTATTCTATAATTTCCAGTGTTGGTGAATCAAAGTTTTGTCTATTGAGGTCAACAGTATAGGTCCTTCTGACTTCAAAGAGACCGCATGGTTTATATTTAATATTTCAAACTAGCTGTAGGATTATTTGTCAAGGAGAGAAAAAGACATTAGTATCTTAAAGAAGTTTGGATTGAAAGTTAAGTGATGTATGTTTGAATATGATATATTGTTTCTCAAGTTTCTTGAGTGTCTCCCGGCAAGCTGAATTCTGTGGCTAGGTATTTTTCAGAGCTTTGGAAGTCCCAACTGGTAACTATCTAGATGGGGTTTTTGATAGCTAGGATCCTACTCCAGAATTCCTTTTGGGTCTATAAATCAAGAGATCAGGCTGAGAAATTGGAGTAGGTACCCAGGGATGTACAGGCTGCCAACAGCAGAGAGGGGAAAGGGGAGGTAGGTGTGAAAGATGCTGTCTGAAGCATCTTGTCTCCTCTGGTAGCTGAATTTGCTGCCCCTGGGAAGTCAATGGCAGCTCCAAAGAGACTGGTGGAGATAGAAGTCATTTGGCATAGGGAGCTGGATGCATGCTTTAATACCATGTGAGCTTTCAGTTCTCTGTGGCTTGGACACCAAGGAGGGGACACCAGCTCACCTATGTTTTTCCCATCCTTCAGCCTTCCTCCCAGCCACACAAGAAACTCAACACAGCACCTCCAAAACACCACAGTCATGCTGCCTGCCATGATGGAGCATTGCTCAGTAGCTCCAGTGTCTCTAGACAGGGATACTGAAGAGTGTCTAAAGCCCACGCAGACACAACCAGCCACACCTGGCAGAGGCGAGTGGGCAATGTGCTGTAGCTCTGCGCAACCTGATTGTGCCTCCTGGGCTGCTGACATGGAGGTATTCCTGACACGTCCTGTGTTGTGTCTGCCAATCTGGGCAGCGAAGCCCACTCCATCGCAGAGTGAGGGTGTTAGGAAACTCTCTCAGGCTGGCTCTAGTACATCCATTAAAGCTTAGATAAAAAAGTTATAAAATCCCCCAAAGACTCCCCTCCCGACCCCTAAACCAGAGAAAATGAGTTGCTTGTCCTTCCAGGAGCACTGAAAAGCAAAGTAGTTACCAAACATCATGTGTTGGCTTGATTTCTCCCTTGTTACTTGGTCTGGCAGGGTTGCCAGACAGCCTGTACAAAAGCCAGCCCAAGTGTGACATCTGTTTTGAATCTTCTTTGCCTGCATTTAATTAACTCTTTCTGTCTCTCTCCTGCTGTAATGTCCAGATCCCAAGCCTCCGAGTGCACCTGTGCCCCCTTCCTCAGCCAGCAGCCTGCCCTGGCCCGTGATCATCGGCATCCCTGCTGGAGCTGTCTTCATCTTTGGGACGATCCTCTTGTGGCTTTGCCAGACCAAGAAGAAACCCTGCTCCCCTCCAGCTGCTGCCCCTGTGCACCGGCCGCAGCCCCGGGACAGGATTTGCGTCTCCCAGGTCCCCGACAAAGACTGCATCTCCTCCATAAACTATGAGGAATATGTCGCCCAGCAGCAGCATTTACTGTCCCAAGGGTCTGCCCTCGCCCCAGCCATGGCATCCAAAATGTACCCAAAGATTTACACGGACATCCACACCCACACCCACTCACACGTAGAAGGCAAAGTCCATCAGCACCAGCACATTCAGTACCAGTGCTAAGAGAACGGCCGTGTACAGTAGCTCGTTTGGGCTTTTCCTCGTGGTACCTCAGAAGAGACTGCTCCAAGTCAGCTCACACTGCCAGCAATAGGCAAAGCAGACAGAAAAGATTA